GTATCTGACTGCATTTACGGTCGTACCTGGATGAATCTGAGCAGATGAGCAGAAATTTATGGTGTATAACGAAAAGAAAACCTAGTGTGTGTGAGTATGCCCTGGCACTGGTACTGTCCTAAATGTAACTGGCTGCAATCACGGCCAGAGCGAGATGAATTTGATCGCAATTACGTCCAGAGCGTCCTAGACAAAGTCCTAATGATGATGCATGTCCTAGACCAGTCTGATTGGAATCAGGACCTCGCCGCACTACTTGAGACAACGAGTGAGAAGTGGAGTACGTATCTTTCCCTTTTTTTTTTTCCGTTTTTTTTTTCCTTGGTCCCGGGTTTGTTTTCGTCTACCGTGAGACGGCGTGAGTTTATGCTTCCCTTGTGGTTGTATATGCTGTTCGTTTAACTGTGTGGCGGTCTTGAGCCTCTGTGTTTGCAGACTGCCTCGTCAACTTGTTCTCACTCTACTTCCTGCTGCTTGGCTTTTTTTTCTTGGCTTCCCTTTTTTTTAACAGGGTTTCATTTGGCTTTGCGGGACAAGAAAAGACTACAACAAAGCAAGCAAAAACGAAAAAAAAAAAGGAAATGGTACAGTACAAAATTATAGACCCCCCATACCCACCTGTCTGAGGGGGCATCATTTTCTCAATTCGAGGGACGTAGCGAGTCAACTTCTTGCTTCCATCATACAGGTTGCTCGTGCTTTGGTGTGCCAGAATTGACGATGAACACTTGGAATGCAGTGCACGCACAAGATCAACAAGAGCTGGCTGTTCCTCCTGAAAAGAGGGGGGGGACAAAATAACCAGAATAGCACACACACACACACACACACACACACAGAGAGAGAGAGAGAGAGAGAGAGAGAGAGAGAGAGAGAGAGAGAGAGAGAGAGAATGCGTGTTGGGAAAAGGGTCCAAGAAAAGGGAGAAAGCCAAAGAGGCAAATCCGTCGTGTATCAGAAGACGAAGGAAAATGTAATTTCAAACTGTTTTTGTGACTGTACTGACGTTAACCCCCCCCCAATAAAATTTATTAACAAAAGAAATGCAATAAAAAAATACGTTACAGCTGTGCCTCATGGCAGAGGACAGTTATAAAACGGGTGAATTTTTCATTTACTAGAACGCGAAAGGGGATGAAATGGACGGATGGTGGGGGCCAAGTCAGGACAACCATCGCCTACCGCTGCCAGCAATCACCCTGAGCTTTGTATAAAGCTAAATAAAAAAGGGGGAAAAAAAAAAAGAACGAACGGAAAAAAAGTGACTGAGTATTCACAGAGTGCGTAAATCGTATGGCTATAGTACAGATCTGGCATGATTCACAGATCTGGCATGATTCTCCTCTCTCCAGTATATATATATATCGTCACAAACAGAACTGCCCGGTAAACCGTTGGCAAGGAAAGAGAAAAGGACAACAAACGAGGGGCTGTGACAAACTGTTTCGTCGGAGTTTCACCGACTCATCAGGAGGCTGAACCCTCAACAGTCTGCAGAATCCCCTCACTGATTACACTGTAAATGATAATCTACCTTAACCAAAATCAAAGTAGACTATCACTCACCCACACCAGATGGAAAACTCTACAGACTGTCGGTTCACACCCCATCACAACCCAGCAAAACATCCACGAAACAAAGAAAGGTCTGTCACAGCCAAAAAATACACTCCAGACACGCCGCTGGCATATATATATATATATGTCCTCTTCTCCCTCTCTGCCTACGGTTTACCGGGCAGTTCTATTTGACGATATATATATATAAATATTGACAAAGGGGTACGCATAGATGGATTTAAACCACCAGTACACCTCCCCAGCCTTGCTACGGGCCTGGTTGCACTACTCTCCATACTCTTAAGTTTTTTTGGCGCGTAGGCTCCTGGTTGCACTTAGGGCCTCGCTGCACTACTGTTGAAAAGTGCAAAAGGAGAGCGTCTTCCTTACTCGCCAACCAAACTTGGCAAATGAATGAAAATATGTCAGACTGCTAGCCACACCGTAGACACACACAACTTGTGGCCAGACTGTGTGTTTTCGGTTTCCCCCGCCTGTGCACCGCGAGGCGGTTTGTTTTTGGAGGGTGGTGGCCCTCGAACCTCTGCACAAAACAACTTTGTGGACAGTGCACCCCTTGGCGAGTAGACATTAGATAGACAAAATTTTTTAACTTTTGTGTAGAAGAAACATAGTGGCAAGTAAGCGCAACCAGGCCTCGAATTGTGGCGGATGGCGCGTACTGCAAAGAGGCCATAAAACAAACTCATCCCCTCGTCCGACGAAAAGTTCGCGGCCAGAGCGCCTTGGACAGAAAACATCGGCTCCCGGAGTTGCGTTTTGGCCTCCAAAAAGGGGCCTGCGGCCGATGTATGGCATGTACTGGTCGCTTAAGACATTTGTAAACATAGTACAGACATAGCATAGGCATCATGGTGGCTATTCACAGCAAACTTGTTCTCCCAGAAAAACACCAATTAAAAAAAAGAAAAAAGAAAAAAAAAGGCTTACCACTTTTTCCGAGTCTGAGTTGAACTTCAGCACCAACTCATTCATCGGAATTCGGCCGCACGCCAACGGGTTGCATGCAGCGAGCAATTCGCCAGCATGAACCTTCTTTGTCGTCACCAGACCTCTTCCTTTCCCTAATCGGTCACACCACAATCATCGTCACAAAGAAGGGCATGTCCCGATTGAGGCAAACAAGGGAGTTAGGTGAAGGGGTAATTTTGTTTTCTCAGATAAATCATAAAGAGGTTTAAGGGGGTCATTTTGACAAAGGTCAGAAAAAAAAAAAGGGAGTCCTGCTCTTGTCCCGTTGGCTCGCGCATGTGGTTGCATGCCTTGAAAAACATAAAAGAGCGCAAATTCGGGCGGAACCTGGCTAACCCGGAGATGTCTTACCACTTAACAAAAGAGTCGTGGGCGACGCCAGGAGGACCTCTCTCTCTCTCTCTCTCTCTCTCTCTCTCTCTCTCTCTCTCTCTCTCTCTCTCTCTCTCTCT